AGTACATCATTTGAGGATGGTGGGAAGGGCTTAAAGTGTGAATCTGAAGATAGCAATATTCTCTTGTTTTTTACTCAGAATATTTTCCCATACCATTTGTGAATTGTTTGTAGTTATTGAAGATTGATAGCTTCTGTTTTTTAAAGCTCTCATGAAATATAAATTATTACCTATGGGATTTTAAGTGTTTGATATTCTTTAATTAATTAATTAATTAATTAATAATAATAATAATAATAATAATACATACATATATATATATATATATATATATATATATATATATATATATATATATATATATGAATAAAGACAAACGGAAAATTTATATTGGGTCATTTCGTTCTCTGACAGACTTTATCAAAGCAAATATGAAGATTTTATTTTGCAACAAGTATTTATAAACAAAATTAAAAACGTTAATAATTTTAAAAAATGTTTAAATTTAAGAGACGCTCATAAATATTCATCAGGTTAACTGAAAAGTCTAGGTAAATTATGGAGGATGCTAAGTGACATAATTTAATGTCTAATCAACGAAATTGAGTAAAGGATGTGTGTTGAATTTTTTAAAAATATACGGTCCCTTCCAAAATTATATTGTTTTTGTTGTTCACTGAAGACGTTTGCGTTTAAGATCAAAAGATGAATATTAGACGAGAGTTCAGAATTTCATCTTTTATTTCCTGGTATTTACATTTAGATGTGTTAAACTGCATAGGATATACCATCTTTTGTATCAGATCACCTCATTTTTAGGTGAGCAAAAGTAAAGGAACAGATAGTGTTAAAGTAAATAACATTTAATATTTGGTTGCATAACACTTGCTTGCAATAATTGCATCAAACCTGCAACCCATTGATATCATCAAGCTATTGTATTCTTCATTTGTGATGCTTTTCTAGACTTTTAACGCAGCTTCTTTCATTTCTTGTTTGTTTCGAGGAGTCTCTTCCTGCAGTCTCTTCTTCAGGAGATGAACTGTATTCAGTTTTGGGTTAAAGTCCGGTCATTGATTTGGCCAGTCTAAAACTGACTATTTTTTTCTCTGATGAAGTCATTTCTCCATAAACAGCTTTCCCGTCATCATGATGGGTTCATCCTTTTTAACAAGAAATATTGCCTTTAGGGGGGGTGAATTCAATGCTAAAACCAAATATAGTCATTCAGAGCTATTTAATGTTTAAACAATTAATCTAAAAGGCAACACCTGAGCAACAAGAAACATCTGTCACTCACGTGTTCCAATAGTTTGGTTACTAATTTATTAGCAGTTTGTTTGAAGACCTTCTGTTATACCTGACGTACCTATTCTATTATTAATAGACTCTCCCACACATAAGTAGTAGTAGTAGTAGTAGCGGTGGCCAGTTGGGCTCAGTGGTGTTGAGCGAGTCAGTCGATATCGGACATTGAAGTACCAACCATCACAACTAGATTGCTGCGTCATTAACTCTTATTTCAAGTTCCTAACGTTTTGTACGTCGAACCTAATTTAGGACGACTTATTGAAATACAAGCCTCCACTGTGAAAACTACTCTACAACACCTTCTTTCACTAAATGTTCGGTTCCGAAAGAGGAATTCTTCAGAAAAAATTATTTTATTGGTAAAATCAATGTAAAATATAAAATGAGTGGGGAGAGGAGAACATATAAGTAAAACACCGCGTTGCGGTTTACATTGAATAAGGTATCTTTCTCCATAGGAGATCCTTCATTGAAGTGTGTTTATTTTGGCAGTTTATATGACGTCAACTTAAGTGACTTGAAATTGAGCGACTTGCATAAATATAGAAGTAGCAATCCTTGAAAATGAATAGAGGAACATTCGAAAGTAATCGGGAAGAAATTAATATGAAATAAAAATAACTTCTTCTCTAACAGTTTCTTTTCTCGTACCTCCCACCTGTAGAACTCCTTCCTGATTTCTTGTTTCTCTCAAAGCTACAAACATCAAATCGTTATTCTTCTGTTATTTTTTTAAAAATCCTCTTCCTCTTTGTCCTTTCTTCAATTCCCGCCCTCCCCCATTCCCAGTCTTCTCATTCTCTTTCACTTTCAGTTCCTGTAAACACTTGCGCCTTAGTGGCATTATTGCCTTCCTTGGGGGTGAAATGATTAAACAAAATACTTAAAATCTATTAGGGACGACTAATGCATTCGGTGTATTATTTCTTAAAAGGATCTTTTTATATTAATCTAATCTTTTATTTAATTCATCGATGTTTCATCTTTGGACATCCGGGATCTTCATTACATTCTATTTTCTAAATTCCCGCTTAAATGTTATTATTTTGTTTTGTGTTAATTCAATCTTTTTATTGTTTTGAAGTCATTGCAACACATTTTATATTAAGTTTACATAAATTCTTTTCACTTGTAGTTGTAATTAAGTTGACAGGTAGAATCAGGAGTCTAGTTTTTATCAAAAGGTTATTTGCATTATTTTCTATATTTTGATTGACTGAGTTGTTTGTTTAACGGCATATCAACACCTTATGCGTCACTCAATACCTAAATTTAATTTTCTCGGGAGCTTGAAATTAAAATATATATGTTATTCTGCTTTCACAATTGAATACATGGTAGATGGTACTCAGCTTTTGTGCATATACATGTTTATGGTGACATACAAGAGCCGTTGGTATGTCTGTTTTATGTCGTAGTTTTTCGAATACAGTTTGATTTCCTTAAGGAACTGCAGGATATCATGTCATGGAAGAGTTCTTTCATGTTAGTTGTTTGGTAGGATTTTAAACGGATTTGGCTGAAATCGCTACAAGTTGTTATTGGTAATTTTACTATAAATATGTATTGTTGCTAATTTTCTATATAAAAATGTATTGCTGGTAATTTTAGTATAAAAATTTATTTTTATACTTTCATAGTGGACACATGGCACAGTGGATAAAGGCGTTAGTTAGATCCAGTGACAGGACCCAAAGAGTGTGAGTTCAGTACCTGGTTAGGGGGTGGAGAACTTGGAGAGGGGAATTAACAGGAGATAACTGATAACTGACATCCATTAGACATGGCACATGTAACTAGAACAGTCTACCCCAGTGAGCGAAATAAAGGGTTCAGTATGACATTCCAACCACCCGAAGAAGACTGGAGCCTACAACGGCCGAAACGTTGTAACAAATATGGTGACAAAGATGAGGACAATAGTCTGAATAATGTAAATAGTGTTTTGTTTGGAGGTTCACTATTTGCCTATAGCTGAGACCCCCTAATAGGTGCTACCACCCCCGAATCAGCAGTTAAGTGGTTGTTCCACGGTCCTCAAAACCTGCAATCTCCCGATCAGAGGGTTTTAGATTTTGCAATCGGAATAAAAAAAAATGTACTACTCGACTTAAAAGGAACATATAAGCGACAGAATAATTAAGAAGCACAAAGAAAACGAAACCAAAAGTTTTACAAACGGAATAATCTCTGCCAATTTTGGAACAAATAACGAAATAGCGGCACTACAAAAACACATAAAAACACTAGAAAAGTCTGTCCAAAATAAGGGTATTTCCATCACCGTTTTGAACAAAGAAGCTGAGATTGTTATAATGAAAACGAATACGTACAGCAAAAAAAGAAAATTTTTAGTCAACAGTACAAACGGTTTTGGAAATAAAAATCGATGAACTCAAAATAATTTTTGAGACTAAATTTCAACAAATCGATTAGAAAGTTAATAAAACCAAAACACGGTCCAAATTGATCGAATATCACCCTAAAATATCTCGTATAGTTTACAAAAACACAGAAAGAAGGCCTTCCATGGTGACATTTCATATCCAGGATTAGAAGAGTTCCTCATAGACTAGAGAAAACTATCGCAAAGATTTTAGCCCTACATCTTGGAATATTTGTGCCTTCATATATTAAAAATTCCATTGACCTTGTCGAAAGACTAAAGAGTATCTATGTGATAGATAAAATCTTGACTAATTTATATACTAAATCTCTCTATACTATGCTACCAGGGTACTTCGACCTGGTGCAATGGTTTGCAAGCTTGTCTCGCTAGATCAGTCACGAATGAGTAGTGAGTTCGATCCCCACTTGCATATTAGCAAATGCTTAATACTCCTAAAGAAATATCTAGTAGAAAGAAAAACTAACCTCAAGACGCCATTTTACGAATGTAAACTTATTACAGAGTGACTGTTATTTCGCTTTCGATAATGATTCCATAGACAGAGGTTCGTATTAGCGATAGTATCGCAATTTACCGGCGTTTTAGCTTTTGTCTTAGAATTTCTAGAAACCAGTTCCTTCGAAATATTTTATCTAGACCATCAACATTAGCAATATATCGATTAGGCTGAAAATTTAGCTGATCTTGTACACTTTCAAATACTTCCACACGTTGTGGAATGGTTTCGTAGACACCCATGACACGTTGATGAAGCATTCCGAATTATTAATGTCTGGTGAATAAACCAATTGTTTTAGGTGGCCCCACAGATAAAAATTCAAAGAATTGAGGTCAGGGGAATGTTTAGACCATAGAACCGGTCCCCACCTACCTATCCATTTAGAACAGTTTCGAATTATTCTAGGGGCAATTGAAGCATTGCCCCTAAAATAATTCGAAACTGTTACCGTCCACCAAAACAGCCGTTAGACTAATCCAATTGACTACCCACAATGCATTACTGACCTGTATATATAAATAGTTGAGCAAAAACACAACGCACACGGTCAGTTGAATGTGTTTAGTATGAAGCTGACTGTAAGCCTTCTCTAATTCACTTTAAGCATTCACACTGAATGAATTCTTACTCTAAGCATTCACACTGAATGAATTCTTACTTTAAGCATTCACACTGAATGAATTCTTACTCTAAGCATTCACACTGAATGAATTCTTACTCTAAGCATTCACACTGAATGAATTCTTACTCTAAGCATTCACACTGTACACACGAGGAAGTGAAAATAGAATGTGATGCTCTTTGAGCATAAAACATTGTGAACGTCTTTTTCCTTTCAGAATGTTCTGCTTTATTGAGGTTTCTGAATCATTGAGGTTTTGCTCTCGAGCTCATAGCGGTGAAATTATGTTTCATCTTCAGGGTTAGGGTATTGTACAACTCCAAAAGATCTTAAGCAACATCCATCTTCTGCTCCTTCATAGTGAACCTATTTTGCACAAACCATTGATACCCCTGCACAAAACTGCAAACACCACAATTTAAAAAAAATAATGATTCTTCTCTCAGCTGTAACGAGAGAATCAGACTATTTGGCTTTATTCTCATTCACAACAGCAGGCCTGCCACTGCGGGGCCTGTCACTAAGTTTCTCTTTTCGCACATTGAGTGCCGGTGTATAATAACAGAGCTCTTATTTGCTTGTGTTATGTATGTTTATGATATTTAGCTTATAATATGTAATTTTGAATATATGTATTTTCTTTACAAGCAGCGTGTGAAAGCATGTGCAATATCCTGCCCTCGTCAGCCGCCAATCAGGGGAGATAACAGTCCTTGCCTTGTCATGTTTAAATATATATTGTTATTGCTTTTAAAGTATGGATGTATATCTATATGTATATAAATAAAAAGAAAGAATAGTAAGATATATAATCTGGTGTTCTTATAGATATTTTTATTTTTACAAAATAGTGCTCAATGTAAATTTACAGAGCATTAATATTATAAATTAATTGATTTAAAATATGTTTTTTTCCGCTACACAGTTCTACTCCAAAATTCGCTTGAGGATGAAATGGAACTAATGCTTTTAATTTAATTGCAAAATTAAATTCGGGGCTTTTAGCTTCTATTTTTGAAACATGGTTAGAACTGTGTAGCGGAAAAAACCATATTTTAAATCAATTAATTTATAAGATGTATATCTATATGTATGTATATCTAATTATGTGATTCATATGTGTGCGTATATGTGGATATATGTATGTGTATCACATTATGAAATGGACAAACATTTAAGTAAATGCTTTGTTTATAATAATATACAGTATTAAACAACATTCAGGCCGGTAAATGTTGTTTAATACCGTTTATTATAAACAGAGCATTTACTTAAATATTTGTACGTATAAAAAGAATGTTAAACATAAAAATGTCTTAAAATAAATGTATGTGTATATATATTATAATTATGGTACGCGTGCATAAATTACTGTTAAGATATATACATTTGATATATTAGGAGTTTTATATACGCATGTATATGTGTGTGCGTATATCTATGGTTATATGTATATATGTCTCAGTGTGCTTGTGTATATACGTTTATATATAGGTGCGTATTTGTATGCATATTTATATATATTTATTCTATGAATGTATGTGTATGAATTCACGTTATATACGAATATAATAGGGTAGATGTTAATATGTAGATAAAAATTGTAATAAAATATTAGTATGTAGCTTCACATATCTATGAAAAGGTGGATAGATATAAATATATAACTGGATATGAGTGATATTTGTGTGTACATGGGCATTATATTGAGACAATATATTGGATATGTAGATTTGTATTGAAATTATATTGATATGTTTGAATTAGGATGGATGTAACTGTATACAGCTTTTTTCGTAAATAAATGAACTGCTTCACTATCACTATCAATATTTAAATTGTACAACGGTCAGTTTTCAATCAATCAATCAATCAATCATATATATATATATATATATATATATATATATATATATATATATTTTAAGACATTTTTTTTGTTTATACGTTCTTTTTATACATACAAATATTTAAGTAAATGCTTTGTTTATAATAAACAGTATTAACAACATTCACCGGTCTGAATGTGCGAGAAATTTTCATAGAAAATATGCGTCCTCCGAACCTGTATCCTATAAGGAACCGTCATATAGCCTGACGTACTTTACCGATTTAGCCACAGAGGTGGGTTTCAGTTAACAAGGCAGATTTTATTGTTTTTAAACTACAATTCTCCATGATTTTCTCTCGTACATTCATATCTGCTCATGGCGTATCCAAATGTAAACAAATGACGTCACACATTATTAAATGGAAAAAGTCCAACTATTATTTTTAAGACATTTTTTATGTTTATACGTTGTTTTTGTCCATTTCATAATACTGTTTATATGATAATATATATATATGATAAAATATAGTTTTAAGGTATGCTATATTTACGAGTAAAAGTGCTCAATATCATGGATAGGGTGTATGTAAATATAAAAGTGTACATTAAAGTATCTATCTATCTATCTATCTATCTATCTATCTATCTATCTATCTCAGTCTGTTTCATGCTAAACTCAATCATCAGTTCCGAAGCTTGCGTACAGCATGAAACTTTGGGTGTGGACTTTACTGTATATATATAATAAAATAATAATCGGCCACTTGTATTCCAGCATACCCGTCTATTAGGTCGGCTAGACAATCCCTATTGCAGACGCTCGCTCAAGCACGTTTGTGCTTGTTCAACACCCACAGAGCCAACTTGTTGTTCATGCTGCAACTATGCTGAGTAGGCCTTAGTTACAGTTTCTGGGAGAGAGCGTGTTATCTAACGTGATATATATATATATATATATATATATATATATATATATGGGTGCATTCACATATAAAACATACACGCGTGTACACACGTATGTATATATGTACAGGGTGTTTATAAAATTTCTCTGCAATTTCCACTGTTTATTGCATCCATCGATACAATTTCCTTGTTAAAGAAATATTATTATGTTATTTAATTCATATTCGTTTTTCTTTTCAGGTAGATGTTGAATCAGTTTATTATTGATCCCTCACTTTTAATGCAAATACAATAAGGACAGTGCAAGCGAAAACATAATGTATATCCTGGTTTATAGAGATCAAATCGGATCAAATAAGGACTAAATCACGGCCAAATCGGACCAAATTGGACCAAATAAGAACCAAATAAATTGCAATACAAAGTATGAAAAATCAAACAAAATAATATCAAGTTGTGGTAACACAACTTGATATTATTTTGTTTGATCATTTTTGACCGTGCCAGAGTTTTATGCAAACAGTGTCTTGCAAAAAACATAAAACCCCCAGAAACTAAAGATCGTCTCGGTGTGTTGCGTGCAACCAATGGAACCCATGTAGAATATAGCAGGTCAATTTTGGAAGTGTGGTATTGCACTCAATTCATAAGTTGGGGTTTGACATGATAATTAACAACACAAAATATTTATTTCCGAATTGCTACCGTTTTTTAAGGAAACCAGTTTAAAGATTAAGTTTAGGTTCAAAATCATGGCGTAGCAATTTCATTCCAGTGATCAGTGAAAGCCTTATAGTAAGACATTATAAAATGTATAATTTACTGAAGTTTAACAAATTGTATATGGAAAAGATTCATGCAACAAGACATTATTACTACATCAGTGTGCCATCAAATAAGACCTTCATTTACCCCAAAGGAAAATTATACTGAAAAATTTAGCTATATTATGATGTAATAGGTTATATAGTGCAGTGGTTTTAGTGTGATTTTCAATAAACAATGCAAATTTAAAATATTTTGTCTTATAATGTGTGTCCAGCAGTATTATGATGTTAATATACACTTTTATCTATTTTTTGTTTTTATTAATTATGATCTAAAAAATCTTATTTGTTGAGTAGACTTTTCTGTAATCTTTTACAATTTTTTTACAGTTTCTACTTATCGAATATAGCAAAAACAAAATTGCTTATTTTGCTTGTGGTGATTCATAATTAAAATTTTGGTTTCAATATATTTTCCATTCAATGTATCTAATATAAAAGATATTAACTTTATTTAGACATATTCTTGAAATAGTCAAATTTTGAAGTCAGGTTGTAAGCAAAAGCCTGTGGAAATTAGGTATTTCTGTACATTTTTTTCAGACAATTTTTAAAGGCAAATGCTCAAAAGTTTGGCGTCAGTACATATCAAATCAAACGCCAGCTTTCACTCTGAGTGGCAATGTTGATTTTCTAAAAGAAATGAAAAATCAACCTCTACCCTATTTGTATTAACACATTGTAATATTGTTTGATTCTTTCAATTATATGGTTTTGTTTTGCACTACCCTACACAGGGATTGAACTCATGATAACAATGTAACTTGATTTACTTCATCAATACTTTTATCCATGAGGCAATAACGTCAGTCAGTATCATAGCAAACGACGAGCTTCCACTCTGTGTGTAATGTTGATTTTCTAAAAAAAGTGAAAATCAACCCGTGGAAATATTCTGATATATTTAAGTTAAACTTTACCTGTTTACGTATATTTTCCATTAAAACCTGTAGAGCTTTCTTCATTTTTGAAATTTTTATGATTTTAAAAAAATTGTATGAATATCTTGTAAATTCCGAATGATTTAAATTCTTACGTGTAGCTACTCCAAAATACAAATATTTTTATATTTGATGTAAATTTTCTGCTAAGCGATTTTTGCTTATTAAAATTGTTGTGAATTTCTTTGTCGATTTCTTTTTGTTTCTATTTTCTTTTCTATTGTCGTTTTTGTAAAAACATTTTATTGAAAGTTGTTTTCTTTTCTGGCATAAACTAAAAAAACTTTTCTATTTGGAACTGAAAAAGAAAACATTACTTGTTAGACACGACACTCTTATGTCTTTATGCAAATTTTAAAGAAGTATTTCAAATGTGTCACATTTTGTATTTAGCCAACAGCGAAAGAGAAGGAATAAAAAGAACGAAAGCCACACACACACACACACATACACACACACACATATATATATATAATGAGAGAATGGAATGATACTCCAGAGAAAGAGAGAAAAATTTATATATAAAAAAGGAAAGAGAGAAAAGAGAAAAAAATATATTCTTTCTTTGAAACGAAACGTGTCACTTGGAAGTTTTTCCATTTTATCAATTACTTAACCACTATTTATTTGATATATATACATACATACATACATACATATATATATATATATATATATATATATATATATATATATATATATATATATATATATATATATATATATATATATATATATATATATGTATGTATATATATATATATATATATATATATATATATATATATATATATATATATGCGTGTGTGTGTGATGAAATCCCCACAGGTTTAAATCAATATTAAAGGACATATCCCGAAAATGAGCAGTTCTAGCAGATTTAAGAAATGGCTCAATACCTAAACTGTAGAGCAATATGAAGAAATTTTATCCTCAAGAGACATTATCTCACTACGATACTGTAGTTTCATCTGTTGGATCTTCAAGCGGGTTCTTGTTAGACAAAGCCGATAGGTGAAATTGTAGAATCATGGTGATAGTTATCCATAGACAGGCTGCTTCCCTGTATTACACCTCATCAGTGTGGCTAGACATGTGATTGCTTCAAGCCGGGATCGAAACCTGATCGATTTGACAGCAGTCGGGGACTCACAGCGCACGCTAGGAAGAACTGGATTTTTTTAACACATTATATACAAGATATATGCATTACCGGCTAGCAGAGGGCTCAATTCATAGCGAAGAGCTTAGCATTAATCATCAGCCAACAAATTCTCTTTCTTCCAAAAGTGCTCAACCCACGAAAGGGAGATGGGTGAGTGTCTGTGTGAAAAGATATTACTACAATATATCTTTAAAAAGGGTAATATGAATAAAAGACAAAATGCAAACTTTTCTAAACCGACGCGTTTAATCCTCTGACGACCAAGGCAAAATTAAGGATTTTATTTTGCAACAAGTATTTATAAAAGAAAAGTAAAATGTTAAATCTTGCAAAATATTTAAATTTATGACGTCATATATATATATATATATATATATATATATATATATATATATATATATATATATATATATATATAATAGATACACCTAGATTTCACCTAAACGGATCGTCAGGGAAAGTTAGTTGTTACTCGTATCGGGGTTTTTCTTTGGGCTTCAGACCTGCATCTGTGCGATTTTTTGTCGGCAGAAGTTCATGTTTGTAGCTCTTTTTTTTTTAAAACCTTTTCCCTCGAGATTGATTTGATTAGCAAATAAAAAATTCGAGGGTTTTTCGAAACGAGTCTAGTTATCTATATTTATATATATATATATATATATATATATATATATATATATATATATATATATATAATATATATATATAAATATATATATATATATATATATATATATATATATATATATATATATATATATATATATACATACATGCATATATATGGAACCCATGTAGAATATAGCAGGTCAATTTTGGTTATCAGGTTAACTGAAAAGTCTAGATAAATTATGGAAGATGCTAAGTGAAATAATTTAATGTCTAATAAATGAAAGTGAGTAAATGATGTTGAATTTTTTATGCAATTAATATTTAAATTATTTTAGCATGAAATAAATGTAATATATATATATACAAATGTATGTATTATATATATATATTATGTATAAATGTATGTATTATATATATTTTATATATAAATGTATGTATTATATTTTATATATAAATGTATGTATTATATATATTTTATAGATGTATGTATAATATATATTTTATAGATGTATTATATATATATTTTTTAATAACGAGAGGTTATGAATTTAACCATTTTCTTTTATTTTTTTTTAACATTTTTATAGTCACGTATGTTTGCTAAGAAAAAGCAAACTCAAAACTAACATTATTACGAATAAGAAGATTGACATTAAATTGATTAAAATAGACACATAATTGCTTCCTAGAAACTCATTAACATCTACTATCCAAAACAACTGATCCAATCTTAACAACATCAAAATAATTACAACCACATCCAAAGCTATTATGGATCTGATCAGAGCTAAAACTACCCATGACAATAATAATTATGAAGCAGGTGGATATATAAAAGAAACTGCCACAACAACTCTTCACATTATATTAGGAAATTTGCAGAAAATTTAAAAAAACCTATCTATGAACACAAAGAGGATCTTATATACAAGAGTTTATCAAATGCATTAGTTATATATAGAAGTAAATTCAACTACAACTATTATCTAATGAATGCCTTTCTTCTTTCAATGAGTGAGGGAATTGGACAGCCATGATCGCCTACGTCCTGAAAGAACACGGCACATAAAAAGAAGTTCAACTACAACTATTATCTAAAGAATGTCACACTTATTAAAGGGGAAAACAACCTACTTAGATGGAAAATTCTCGAGACAGCCACTAAGGGATTTTAGCAAAATATAAATCTGAGTCCCGAATTTTTTCCAATATCTCCTTTCCTAAAAGAATTACTCCTATCCCAAGACAACATACATGGCTACAAAAATGTTAACAAATTAACCTGTTATTCAAAAAATGAATATATACAATACATAAATTTACCCCGTACTAAAATAATCTAAATATTAATTGCATAAAAAACATCATTTACTCACTTTCATTTATTAGACATTAAATTACGTCACTTAATGTCTTCCATAATTTATCTAGACTTTTTAATAAGCTTATGAATATTTATGAGCGTCAATTTAATTTAAAAAAATTAAAACTAGCAACAATTTTATTTTTGTTTTATAAGTACGCGTTGCAAAATAAAACCTACATCAAATACCTTGAGGACGTAGTGCTGCCCTGTGTCAAGAGGGTGGATGCTGGAAGATCCTATGTTTGGCAACACGATTCTACACTATGCCACACAAGCAAGAGAACTATGTCATGGCTGTCAGACAATTTCTGCAATCACATCACCTCTTAAATCTGGCCACCTAACTCTCGAGACTTGCACCATCTTGATTATTATGTGTGGGGCGCAGTTGAGTGAGAGACCAACAAAACACCTTGTAACACCATAGATGAACTCAAGGCAAGGATTATTGCAACATTCACCAACTTAAACAAGGAAACCGCCCAGAAGAGTTGCAGAAGATTCTAAAGTCGTCTGGAAGCCGTATTTGAATCCAATGGCGATTTTATTGAATTATTTTACCCTTTAGTATTTCAAAATATTTTTTGTGTAATTTACGTAAATATATCTGCTAAAATGAGATGTCAGTGTTATTTTCATTTTACATAACTTAGACCACAATTTATCCATCACACCCTGTGTGTGTGTGTGTGTGTATATATATATATATATATATATATATATATATATATATATTCAAGCATGTTTCATTGAATAATTTAGACATATTATGTGTATTTATTTTTATAATAATTACCTTCTTGGTATTAAGTTGAAATTCGTCAAAGAAGGCGCCATAGTTCTTGTTAACCCATTTACTCTCGATCTCCTCTGGGTGAATTGAGAAGACAGACATATTTTAAATGTGATCGTTGTGATGATGATTTTTCTAAATACGCATGAACGCGCTCCCTTATAATTATTTTAAAATGTTAAATTGATCCATTGCAGCTATGGTGTGCTTCTTTGAGATTTTTTTGGAACACGTCGCAATATACGCACCCTAATGGATAGTAGATATACTGACCAAATCTTCAAGGTCTTCAGCCATCTTGTGATGTAGTAATAGCGAATTGTCCGTATTTGATATTTAGACAGTATGATATAATATTATGAGGCTCTGTATGGTGAAATTGTCCAATGCAAGCAGATGTCATGTCACGGATAGGCACAAGTGCTGTTCTTAGATTTTAGAAGGAGTCAAATTGAGTCCCTTTGAGGGGCTGGATTGTCGTCTCATGGAAATCTTTCGAAGTTGGGTAGCCGAGAACGTTTTACCATCCCCTCCCCTAGAAGATAAAAGTGAAAAGAGAGAGAAAGAAAAAATAGAGAAGTAGAAAGAAAGATGAGAGAAGAGAAAAATGAGACAACTATATATAAAAAGAGGAAAGAGAGAAACGCACGCACACAATATAATATATATATATATATATATATATATATATATATATATATATAATAAAAAAAATGGCGAAAAAAGAGAGTGAAGATAAAAGAAAATGGAAAAAAGACAGGTAAGAAAGAGAAGGAGGACATGTCATCTATAAAAGAGTAAAAAAAGTCTGAAGAATAAGAGAAGAAAGAGGGAGTAGTGAATCATGGGAGAGATGAAACGAAAGAAAGTTTTAAAAAAATGAAAGTTAAAAAAAAACACACGACCAATTGCAATCTTTCAGTAATCTTAAGGCAGCAAAGGGAAGGAAGAGATCAACAATCACGTCTTTCAATCGATATTCTGACCTAGATCTACGTTCAACGATCGGAGGCGTTCGAATGGGAATGTTTTTGAACACAGCTAATCGATTCCACTTCGACAGTGAGATAAGATTCGAGGCAGGAAGGAAGTTGCCACGCGATCTGCTAATCGCGTCAAATATATGGCCGCCATTGTAGAGAATGCGCCGGAAATGACGTTATGTAATCTTTATACCCAAATCGTTCAATTGTTTGATGGCAACGCTATTATGAAAATACGCACAAAAATACACTTGCACACACAGACTAATGCAGGTAGACAGCGACACACCCACTCATAATATGCAGGTAGGCTTTCATATGAACATAAGGGAACCTGTGAGAAACAGCTAGTAACCTTCATGCGGAATTTGATCAATTGAATGGCAGATCAAGGACCACAAAGACAAGAGCTGCCACAAAGGAGTGAGAAGTACTTAGAGCAACAAAAGACAGAAAAAGATATTGCGCATCTATCTATCTATCTATCTATCTATCTATCTATCTATCTCTTAATCGCACACTTTCTCTCTCCCCATATCTATCTATCTATCTATCTATCTATCTATCTATCTATCTATCTATGTTTATATATATCCGAATGCAATGAGAACGAAAATAATATATAAAATCTAACGTTTACAGAATTAATTAAAAAGAGGGCACAATACCTTTAGTAGAGCAATAATTATTTATTATAATTTCTTTTATATAGAGAAAAACAATTTGATCACTAAAAAGATGCAACTTTTTTCGATGCATTTAGTTGAACCTCGACTAGTGAGGAACAAAATCGTTATGAACAATTCTTATAAGTCCCCTTTTAAATTTTATTTTTTCTATATTTCTTATTTATTTATTCATGAATTTTTATTTTTTCAAACAAGTAGAAAAAGGAAGTGATGTTCCACGTGCGGCCTGCTTACAAAGAGAATAGTTCATAATCATTTTGGTTCTCACCACTCAAGGGGCAACTAAATGCACCAAAACGAAGTTGCATATTTGTAGTGAGTAAATTGTTTTGGTCTATATGCAAAAATTTCATACATAATATGTTTGTTTGTTTGTTTGTTTGTGTGTGGGGGGATAACAATATATGAATTTTATATATAAAAAATATCTTTAAGGAGAAAGATGAATTATTGTTTGGTATTTTTCCATGTCGACAGTATGGAATAACGAGGTTGGTGGCTTCATTGGTTGAGTGTCAAGAGAACAGATGAAACTGTGGTTAGAGGTTACAATCGGTTATTTGGCCCGAATTGTGATAACCAACACAGGTTAAGTGAAGAATCCGTGTTTAGTTCTCATTCAATCATTCACTTTGGGTGCGAAAACATTTTACAATTTATCATATATATATATATATACAAGGAAAATTTGTGTTTATTCAGAAAAAAAAAAAAACAGTTTCCATGCGGAGCCCCCTAACCAATAACAACAACAATGTTCCTCTCAAGAGTGAGTCACATTTCTGGGTTGATTCCTCGTCTAGATAAGAAAGGATACAAGAGTGTCCGAAAATTCCGACTTTAAAATCTTCGTCTTCGAAATTCATTTCAGTCAAAAAGTTAATATATAAGAAATATCATCAATCTTATTAGCAATACTGTTATCATTTTGTTGATTTTGTATTCCTCAAATTTAATTAAAATGTCTATTTAATGTACATAAACACGCGCAAACACGCACACATACTCAAAACAGACACAGAAACACAGACATATATATAGAGAAAAAGCAAGAAAAATTTGATATTTAAATTTAGTTATTATATTTTTACATATTTGATTTTCGAGAGAGTAAAACGTAAAAATATATGAATATTGTAAAAAGTTGTTAAAAGATTATCAAAGTTTCCTTGTCATTAATTATTAAGGAAACCTTGCTTAAAAGGAATATTGTTGCACAAAATATATATATATATATATATATATATATATAGATATATATATATATAATTGACAAGCAGTGTGGATTATGTGTGATAGAATTCCTTTGCTGCATTATGTTATTTTTTGGGAAGCTAGGCGTTTTCCATTTTCTTCACTTTCAGTAACCACTTGCAGGATGTTTCTTAATTGCCCTGTTCATTAAACTCAATCACAGTAACTCTTTCTGGTCCGCTACTTAATTATCCTCTTTATTTCTTTCACTCTCAGTAACCCCATGCAGCCTGTTTAAATATAGTGCCATCAAGTTCCTTCTCTTTTAGAAAACCATTACAACCTGTGTCATTATTATACACTCCATTTCCTTCTTTCTCAGAAAGCACTTGTAGCTTTGCCATTATTTGGCTCTCATTTCCTTCTCTCACAGAAAACTCTTTCAGCCTGTTCCATTATTGTGCATTCCATTTCCTGCTCTCTCATTTACGTTTTGCAGACAGTTCCATTATTGTGCTCTCCATTTCCTTCATTCACAGAAACCTTTGCAGCCTGTTCCATTATTGTGCATTCCATTTCCTGCTCTCTCATTTACGTTTTGCAACCTGTTCCATTATAGTGCTCTCCGTTTCCTTCTCTCACAGAAACCTCTTGCAACCTGTTCCGTTATTGTGCTCTCTGTTTACTTCTCTCACAGAAACCTCTTGCAACCTGTTCCATTATTGTGCTCTGCATTTACTTCTCTCACAGAAACCTCTTGCAGCCTCTTCTATTATTGTGCTCTCCATTACCTTCTCTCACAGAAACCTCTTGCAGGCTGTTCAATTAGTGTGCTCTCCATTTCCTTCTCTCAAAGAAACCTCTTGTAACCTGTTCCATTACTGTGCCCTCCGTTTACTTCTCTCACAGAAACCTCGTGCAACCTGTTCTTTATTGTGCTCTCCATTTAATTCTCTCACAGAAACCTCTTACAGCCTTTGCCATTATTTCGCTCTCCATTTCCTTCTCTAACAGAAAGCTCTTGCAACCTGTTCCATTATTGTGCTCTCCATTTATTTCTCTCACAGAAACCTCTTGCAACCTGTTTCATTATTGTGCTCTCCATTTCCTTCACTCACAGAAACCTCTTGCAGCCTTTTCTATTACTGTGCTCTCCATTTATTTCTCTCACAGAAACCTCAAGCAGCCTTTGCCATTATTTCGTTCTCCATTTCCTACTCTAACAGAAAGCTGTTCCATTTTTGTGGTCTCCATTTCCTTCTCTCACAGAAACCTCTTGCAACCTGTTCTATTACTGTGATCTCCATTTACTTCTCTCACAGAAAGCTCTTGCAACCTGTTTCATTATTGTGCTCTCCATTTCCTACTCTAACAGAAAGCTCATGCAACCTGTTCCATTATAGTGCTCTCCGTTTCCTTCTCTCACAGAAACCTCTTGCAACCTGTTCCGTTATTGTGCTCTCTGTTTACTTCTCTTACAGAAACCTCTTGCAACCTGTTCCATTATTGTGCTCTGCATTTACTTCTCTCACAGAAACCTCCTGCAGCCTCTTCTATTATTGTGCTCTCCATTACCTTCTCTCACAGAAACCTCTTGCAGGCTGTTCAATTAGTGTGCTCTCCATTTCCTTCTCTCAAAGAAACCTCTTGTAACCTGTTCCATTACTGTGCTCTCCGTTTCCTTCTCTCACAGAAACCTCGTGCAACCTGTTCTTTATTGTGCTCTCCATTTACTTCTCTCACAGAATCCTCTTGCAGCATGTTCTATTACTGTGCTCTCCATTTCCTTCTCTCACAGAAACCTCTTGTAACCTGTTCCATTATTGTGCTCTCCATTTCCTTCTCTCACAGAAACCTCTTGCACCCTGTTCCATTTTTGTGCTCTCCATTTCCTTTTGTCAAAGAAATATCTTGTAACCTGTTCCATTATTTGTCCAACCTGTTCCATTTTTGCCATTGGTCTCCATTTCCTCTCTAACAGAAACAGAAACCTGTTCCATTTTGTGGTCTCCAGCCTTCTCACAGAAATTGTGTTCTCCATTTCCATTTCTTCTCACAGAAACCACTTGCAGGCTGTTCTATGAGTGTGTTCTCCATTTCCTTCTCTCACAGAAACCTCTTGCAGCCTCTTCTATTATTGTGCTCTCCATTTACATCTCTCACAGAAACCTCTTGCAACCTGTTCCATTATTGTGCTCTCCATTTCCTTCTCTCACAGAAACCTCTTGCAACCTGTTCGATTATTGTGCTCTCCATTTACTTCTCTCACAGAAACCTCAAGCAGCCTCTTCTGTTATTTTGCTCCCCATTTCCTTCTCTCACAGAAACCTCTTGCAGGCAGTTCTATTAGTGTGCTCTCCATTTACTTCCCTCAGAGAAACCTCTTGCAACATGTTTTATTGTTGTGCTCTCCATTTACTTCTCTCACAGAAACCTCTTAGAGCCTTTGCCATTATTGTGCTCTCCATTTCCTTCTCTCACAGAATCCTCTTCCAGCATGTTCTATTACTGTGTTCTCCATTTACTTCTCTCACAGAAACATTTGCAACCTGTTCCATTATTGTGCTCTCGATTTCCTTCTCTCACAGAAACCTCAAGCAGCCTGTTCCATTATTGTGCTCTCCATTTCCTTCTCTCACAGAAACCTCTTGCAACCTGTTCCATTATTGTGCTCGGCATTTACTTCTCTCACAGAAACCTATTGCACCCTGTTCCATTTTTGTGGTCTCCATTTCCTTCTCTCAAAGAAACCTCTTGCAACCTCTTCCATTATTGTGCTCTCCATTTACTTCTCTCACAGAAACCTCTGACAGCCTTTGCCATTATTTCGTTCTCCATTTCCTACTCTAACAGAAAGCTCATGCAACCTGTTCCATTTTTGTGGTCTCCATTTCCTTCTCTCACAGAAACCTCTTGCAGCCTGTTCTATTACTGTGCTCTCCATTTACTTCTCTCACAGAAACTTCTTGCAACCTGTTCCATTATAGTGCTCTCCATTTCGTTCTCTCACAGAAACCTCTTGCAGCCTGTCCTATTATTGTGCTCTCCATTTACTTCTCTCACAGAAACCTCTTGCAACCTGTTCCATTATTATGCTTTCCATTTCCTTCTCTCACAGAAACCTCTTGCAGTCTGTTTTATTATTGTGCTCTCCATTTCCGTCTGTCACAGAAACCTCTTGCAACCTGTTCCGTTATTGTGCTCTCTGTCTACTTCTCTCACAGAAACCTCTTGCAACCTGTTCCATTATTGTGCTCTCCATTACCTTCTCTCACAGAAACCTCATGCAGCCTCTTTTATTATTGTACTCTCCATTTCCTTATCTCACAGAAACCTCTTGCAGGCTGTTCTATGAGTGTGTTCTCCATTTCCTTCTCTCACAGAAACCTCTTGCAGCCTCTTATATTATTGTGCTCACCATTTACTTCTCTCACAGAAACCTCTTGCAACCTGTTCCATTATTGTGCTCTCCATTTTCTTCTCTCACAGAAACCTCAAGCACCCTCTTCTGTTATTGTGCTCTCCATTTCCTTCTCTCACAGAAATCTCTTGCAGGCAGTTCTATTAGTGTGCTCTCCATTTACTTCTCTCAGAGAAACCTCTTGCAGCATGTTCTATTATTGTGCTCTCCATTTACTTCTCTCACAGAAACCTCTTGCGCCCTGTTCCTTTATTGTGCTCTCCATTTCCTTCTCTCAAAAAAACCTCTTGCACCCTGTTCCATTATTGTGCACTCCACTTCCTTCTGTCAAAGAAACCTCTTGTAACCTGTTCCATTATTGTGCTCTCCATTTACTTCTCTCACAGAAACCTCTTACAGCCTTTGCCATTATTTCGTTCTCCATTTCCTACTCTAACAGAAAGCTCATGCAACCTGTTCCATTTTTGTGGTCTCCATTTCCTTCTCTCACAGAAACCTCTTGCAGCCTGTTCTATTACTGTGCTCTCCATTTACTTCTCTCACAGAAACCTCTTGCAACCTGTTCCATTATAGTGCTCTCCATTTCCTTCTCTCACAGAAAACTCTTGCAGCCTGTTCTATTATTGTGCTCTCCATTTACTTCTCTCATAGAAACCTCTTGCAACCTGTTCCATTATTGTGCTCTCCATTTCCTTCTCTCACAGAAACCTCTTGCAGTCTGTTTTATTATTGTGCTCTCCATTTCCGTCTGTCACAGAAACCTCTTTCAATCTGTTCCGTTATTGTGCTCTCCTTTTCCTTCTCTCAGAGAAACCTCTTGCAGCCTCTTTTATTATTGTACTCTCCATTTCCTTATCTCACAGAAACCTCTTGCAGGCTGTTCTATGAGTGTGTTTTCCATTTCATTCTCTCAAAGAAACCTCTTGTAGCCTCTTATATTATTGTGCTCTCCATTTACTTCTCTCACAGAAACCTCTTGCAGGCTGTTCTATTAGTGTGCTCTCCATTTACTTCTCTCAGAGAAACCTCTTGCAACCTGTTCCATTATTGTGCTCTCCATTTACTTCTCTCACAGAAACCTCTTACAGCCTTTGCCATTATTTCGTTCTCCATTTCCTACTCTAACAGAAAGCTCATGCAACCTGTTCCATTTTTGTGGTCTCCATTTCCTTCTCTCACAGAAACCTCTTGCAGCCTGTTCTATTACTGTGCTCTCCATTTACTTCTCTCACAGAAACCTCTTGCAACCTGTTCCATTATAGTGCTCTCCATTTCCTTCTCTCACAGAAAACTCTTGCAGCCTGTTCTATTATTGTGCTCTCCATTTACTTCTCTCATAGAAACCTCTTGCAACCTGTTCCATTATTGTGCTCTCCATTTCCTTCTCTCACAGAAACCTCTTGCAGTCTGTTTTATTATTGTGCTCTCTATTGCCATCTGTCACAGAAACCTCTTGCAACCTGTTCCATTATAGTGCTCTTCGTTTCCTTCTCTCACAGAAACCTCTTGCAACCTGTTCCGTTATTGTGCTCTCTGTTTACTTATCTCACAGAAACCTCTTGCAACCTGTTCCATTATTGTGCTCTGCATTTACTTCTCTCAAAGAAACCTCTTGCAGCCTCTTCTATTATTGTGCTCTCCATTACCTTCTCTCACAGAAACCTCTTGCAGGCTGTTCAATTAGTGTGCTCTCCATTTCCTTCTCTCAAAGAAACCTCTTGTAACCTGTTCCATTATTGTGCTCTCCGTTTCCCTCTCTCACAGAAACCTGTTGCAGTCTGTTTTATTATTGTGGTCTCCATTTCGTTCTCTCACAGAAACCTCTTGCAACCTGTTCCATTATTGTGCGCTGCATTTATTTCTCACAGAAACCTCTTGCAGCCTGTTCTATTATTGTGCTCTCCATTTATTTACTCACAGAATCTTCTTACAGCCTTTGCCATTATTGTGTTCTCCATTTACTTCTCTCACAGAAACCTCTTGCAGTCTGTTTAATTATTGTGCTCTCTATTTACTTCTCTCACAGAAACCTCTTGCAGCCTGTTCCATTATTGTGCTCTCCAGTTACTTCTCTCACAGAAACCTCTTGCAACCTGTTCCATTATTGTGCTCTCCATTACTTTCTCTCACAGAAACCTATTGCAACCTCTTCCATTATTGTGCTCTCCATTTACTTCTCTCACAGAAACCTCTTGTAGCCTGTTTTATTATTGTGCTCACCATTTACCTCTCTCACAGAAACCTCTTGCGAGCTGTTCCATTATTGTGCTCCCCATTTCCTTCTCTCACAGAAACCTCTTTCAGCATGTTCTATTACTGTGCTCTCCATTTACTTCTCTCACAGACACCTCTTGCAGCTTTGCCATGATTTTGCTCTCCATTTCCTTCTGTTAGAGAAACCTCTTGCCACCTTTTCCATTATTGTGCACTCCATTTCCTTCTCTCACAGAAACTTCTTGCATCCTGTTCCATTATTTTTCGCTCCATTTCCTTTTCACATAGATAACTTTTGCAACCTGTTCCATTATTGTGCTCTCCATTTACGTCTCTCGCAGAAACTTCTTGCAGTCTGTTTTATTATTGTGCTTTCCGTTTACTTCTCTCACAGAAACATCTTGCAACCTGTTCCATTATCGTGCTCTCTATTTCTTTCTCCCTCAAACACATGTTACATCCTTTGCCATGATTTTGCTCTCCATATCCTTCTCTCATAGAAACCTCTTGCAACCTCTTCAATTATTGTGCTCTCCATTTACTTCTCTCACAGAAACCTCTTGCAACCTTTTCCATTATTGTGTTCTCCATTTCCTTCTCTCACCGAAACCTCTTGCAATCTGTTTTATTATTGTGCTCTCCATTTACTTCTCTCACAGTAATCTCTTGCAACCTGTTCCATTATTGTGCTCTCCATTTCTTTCTCTCTCAGAAACCTCTTGCTGCCTGTTTCATTACTGTGCAGTCCATCTCCTTTTCCCTCAGTAACATTTTGCACCCTGTTTTTTATCATCCTGTAAATTTTCTTCACAGAACCACTTCCACCCTGAACCTTTATTAACTTGTCTATTTCACAACTTGAATAACTTTACATTGATCACATGTTTCAAAGTTCCATTGATATAAGCCAAAATCTTTTATAAAATATTCATCAAATACACTTCAATTTAGATCACCTTTTCTCAGTTTCTTCTGTGCCGCTTTTTCCAGAAAATTCTTGAGATTCGTCCTCACTCCCCGTATTCTCTTGTATTGGAAGCATGAGTACATTTTTTAATTTAATTTTTTTCAAAGAAAGTTTGTAGTTTTACCTATGATATTCAAACATATTGTGCATTTTTCCTTAAAGTTTTGACACAGAGTGAGACCAATATATTACGAGAAAATGTGTGTTTGGAGCCATCGCTCAACTCCCCTCTGTAGGCTGTGGCGGCTATTTTTCAAATTCGCCAACATGTGGTTGTCGAGAAAGTTTTATTCCTATCTGAATGAGATGAATTGAGTAAACGTGCAGGAAGTAAATGATTGTTTTGTATTTGCGATGTTGGGCAAACATTATGTTTTGTGTTGTTGATAATGTAGGTTAGAACTTAACAACAAAGAAAGATGCCCATGTGTTTTTAGAATCTTATTACCAATTTATTGAATTATTCATAGATTAGCATAACAACCATGACAAATAACTCTCAGTTGAACATATCTGAATTCACTTGGATTCTAACCCTACTCCTTTCATAAAAATTTGTCAATTTCCATTTCTAGAACAATATCGAAGAGCTTCAAACTTGTTGAGCCTCGTGGTGTAGAAGCAGCTCAGAAACTCTTTATCCAGGCATCAACAGAGGCAGATTGGTAATTATACTTTATATGCTAAGAAACGACGCCAGAGTCTATCCCAGAATTCATACCAATTCAAGGGGTGCAGCTATAGCATTCTCGCTGGATATCTGAGAAGGTTCAATGAGCTCTCCAACTCTTTTCTGCTGAGCCGATTACATGAAGGTAGTGACTTTGAACCAGCGTTAAGCGCCAACAATATAATATGCCACAAGGCCTACAGGATGAGATATAAGAAGACCAAGTTAGACAAAAGAGAGAAGAGGCACCTGGAAATAGGCGCCAAATAAGAGAGGAAGTTTTTGCTCGTAAGTGAACTCGTTATTTGACACGAGCATCAAGTACGTAGACGAAACATCAAAACGTGAAATGCTTCTTCTGCGGAGAAGCTTCTGGTCTTCATGAAGCTGAAACATTCCAACTGAACTCGCGTGTTAGGTTGTACGTACTGATTCTGGACGACATGAACCTGCTGACGCAACTGAACGCTGGAGACATGGTTGCACAGGAAAGGGCCAAGTACTACTGAAATTGTCATCTGAAGTTGTACAATCGCGCACCGAAAATTAAGAAACTAGCGGGCAACGGTACAGACGATGAACACGCAATAGCAGGACTTGTTTTTTTTGCAGAGCTGGTGGTGTTCATCTAAGAAGTTCACTAAGATGACGCAACGTCTCTTGTCTTCACACTTGCTGAATTGACACAGTTATAAAAGTCAAGGATAGAACAGCTGAGAGTCAAGCATCACAACACGATGCACATCGACCTGTCTTAGATAGAGACTGCTTGCTAAATTTCCTAACATGCGTACACAGCAAGAGGGACACAATGGCCTGCTTGCATTCAATGACGAGCTCGGCGATGCCCTAGCAAAGGCATGTGAACTGAACAGAGACCTTGATATTGTCCACCTGGCGCGTGCTGCCCAAATTGTGAGACGCCACATCATCGGAGATGTTAAGGTGTTCAACGGTTACTCCGTGCTACCCATGCTGGTTGCCTTCATCACTTTAATCTTGGAAGGTCCCAGTATCAAGCCCCAGAGTGAAAACACAACATCGTCCAGCTCAAGCTCAATAGCGTTATGTATCGAAGGACCGCCTCAGGCAGTATCCCTCGCCCAAGTCAGGCACGCTACCAAACAGGAGACGTTAGTTCAAAAATACATCGGCCTAATGCTGCACACACGCAAGTGAGAGCTCGTCAACAGGCTGGTACACATGGGGATTTCTGTCTCCTATGATCAGTACTTGCCCCTTTCCACACAGTTGGGGAACAGTGCACGCCGCCTTTACGACTAGAAGTAGTCTGCTCTCCCAACTTAAATGAATCAAAGCTATTCACGAGGAATGTCAGCATTTGATGCCTGATCATGGGTTTCCTTGTCGCCATTTCATCTGCAATTAGCTTAAATATATTAATCAGCAGCAAACTTTATTTAACATCTGTGTGTCCTTTGGATGTCTGTTGCCGGTCATTTTGGAAACTGTCTGCCACGGCGTAGTTGGACGATGGCTTCACATTCAGATTTGTTCATAATATATTGGTATACCTCTGTGCCAAAAATTAAAAAATGATTTATTTTTATCTATTAAAAATTGCACAATAGGTTAGTTTATCCGCAATACTACTTCGATTTTTGCCTTCAAAAGACGTCATCAATTCTTTCTTTTTCAAATTTTTCTGTATTGTCTATTTTATTTTTTTAACTTTGCTTGCAAACAGAAAATAATGTTTTCTTTCGCAGTTATGGCAAATTTTCCAAAAGCGAGACACTATTTGTGTCAATTTTACATTCATACTAACAGTATTTTCATTTCTTGCTTCCCTTTTTTATACTGTACGTTTCAACATTGTCCTCAGGAGGAGTAAACTTTTTTAATCGATTTCAGTTGTATAACTTCCACACATGCAGTTAGAGACAAATTATTAAATTGTAATTGTTCAAATACCATATATTTTTGATACATATCATCCATACCTTTAATCAAATATAACTGAATCAACAAGTCTTCTATAGACAAATCGAGTTCCCAGCTTTTTAATTTCGCAGAATCTGCTAGCTTCTCTCAATCCGTGAATATATTGTATAATTGTTTCTGTTTAATGGACAGAAATTCGTTCTTTCTGCTATGACAACTCCCTTTTTAGGCCCTAAATCTATTTTTATAATTTTTGACGAAAGTCAACTTCTCCAATTGTTTGGAGTATGCCATAATAGAAATTTTCATTATAGTTTCACAACCTGCCGAAGGTAAGAAGAGGTTGGTTGTTTCATATCTCCCCCTCTTGCCATGCTGTATTTCAATTTTTTTTAACTCTAGCCTTGGCGGCAAATCACCGGGCCCAAGTCTCGCCAAATTCTAGTTCGTCCAAACGACTTAAAACATCCTATCGGCGATGCTATATTGTTATATTGTTCTACGACACGTGACCAGCAGTCAAGTTATTCCTGTTTGACTCTTTACTCTATGCTTTATTTCTCCTATAACCAACATATGCAAATTGGTAAAATTCTATTTGCCAATTCCATTACACCTCCTTAAACTGAAGAGTTATACCCTGTCTTTGCAAGTGAACAATTTTTAAGCATTCTTACTCTCTCTCTCTCTCTCACTATCTTCCCAACCTCGCACATACAATGTATTTGATCAACGTTTGTCTCCATCCAACTACGTATTTCCATCATCAGATGTGTTTGTGTTTTTGTGATTTGTATTTGGAAATGACAATTATCCAGTCGACACAGAGACTATTTTTATATGCCGCCTTCATTGAATTCTTACTCCATTCAGGCGAACGAATAAATCAAATTCATGGATGACATTTTCATCCACCTTCGTATGTATACTCCCAAAAGTTACTAAAGGTTGATGAAGAACTCGAGACATTTGACTGAAAAGATTTTTTTTTGATTCCCAATTATTTTCCAAATTACGGAACACAAAGCAGTTCCAAAAGAATTCTTACCATTTCTTTCCCTGTCATATTTTTTAAAATCTTTTCACTCCCAAGGGAGGCAATAAAGCCACTAAGACACAAGGAATTACAGAGTGTGAGAGAATATGAGGAAAAGGAAAACACCGTTAAGGAGAGAGAACAATAAAAGAACAGGAATTAAGAAGACAGATGATAACGATGGATATTTCATTTAAATTTTTGAAGAGAGTTTACAAGCGAGGAACTGTTAGCATAGAACTTATGGTTCCATCTAGACATATCAACTGTAAAATGATGAGACCTAGTGGCCAATCTAGTACTGAACTTAAAATTGTAATGTCAAGTTACCAAAGAAGAAAACTCACCAGAACAATTACCATAAAAATATTTATAGAAAAGGCACAGGGTAACTATGTTACGGCGGTGAAGGGAAGTGTCTGAAGCCGAGATGCCAGATCAGGGTCAAAAACATTGCAGATTCTTCTTTGTATTCTATCAAGAATCCCTAAATACATAGCAGAAGTACCAGACCAGATGTGGTAGCAAAAATATTCAATGTATGGAAGAATGATAAACTGATATATGTGTATGACGGATTCTGACGAGAAAATTTGTCTAGCACGAGACAGTGAACCAACTTTCCTAGAAGTAAAACGAGAAATTAATTCAGTATAATTTTTTCACTTCATGTCAGCGGAAAACGAGAAGGCGCGACGAGTCATTCTCCTGGAGGTTAGCATCAGCCATACTGATGAAAGGTAAAAAATGATTCTCCCATTTGATTAAAAGGGAGCGGTTTCATTTTGAACGAATTTCTTTAAATTAAATGCAGCCGAGCTTATAAGGTTTGAAATTTTAAAAAATGGGATATTTTTAGAGAAAATAAATGAATAAACTCATTTTTTTCGTCATCATCAAAAGTGTGCATGAAGCAAATCAA